TTCATTTTCATAAAAATTTATTATATAATTCTTAAATCTTAATGCTAAACTCTTGCCAATCCTTCATTATATTTTTCTAATACACTTTATAATTAAATAAGCTACTTTACAGGGTAATTCCATTTATGCAACCGGCACCCCACCACACAATTACCTTTTCTAACATGTACGGACATTTGGATTAATTTTTTAAAAGTGATTTTATGAACTACGAGAACAGTTTGTGAGAGAGATTTTGTCTCAAATTGTGTAAAAGCACTTTTTTTTAGATGTTTTTAGAGGTTACGAAACACCCTAAACTAATATGTAATTACCTTTCTTATTGTGCAAGTGACCTTTCAAAATATGAAATTTACCCTAATGTGTTAGTAACCTTTTTTAATATGCAATTATTTTCCATAGTATGCAAATATAAACTAAACTACAAGCTTGTAATTACTTTCCATAAGACACAATTAGCTTCAAGAATGTGCAAGTGGATTCCTCAATATATAATTACCTTCCTTTGGGGTAGACTAAGTCATTTCATATGCTTATTTATTATCCCTAAAGAAAATCAGCCCTTAGCCTAAACCCTTCCCCACGAGGCAATGGAGGATGTAATTGTAACGAGGTCAGATTCTTTAGAACAATTTTATATTATGGATCCGGGGGTATGTTTGGTAATCAAAGTTTTCCTCCTCCTCTCTTGTCATTGGCGCCAAAATACATGGCCGTCCATTTTCCTATTACTTTTCCATCAATGGCAAATCAGGCTGCACCAAACATCGGCTGGGTAATCCTTTTCCACTAGCATTTCCCACAGAAACTGCCAAATGGGACCTAAGGGTATGTATGGAAATTTCTAATTTAGTAAAAGTAGCCTTTCATTTATGTTGGTAAGGTAACAATGTTGAAAAAATTGTGTTTTCCAAACTCTAATGACAAACCAAACACACATTTAATACAATTTCAAACAACACCAAAACAACTTAGGCAATCTCATCGCATTTAAGCCTGGCATTAGTATATTGTTGTTCGTGTGTGGGTTTAATTGTATGAAATAAAAAAAAAATATCACGTTTAACAAGGTTTTACACTATTTCACTATAGAAAGAATGTTGTAGGTGCTTGGATAACACAAAAGTGTTTTTTAAAAGCACTTTTTTTATAAATCGAGACAAATTCTTTCATGTATTTACTTCGTGTACTGTGAAAATAATTTTAAAACTATAATTTTGTTTCTACCCAAACACCTCTAATAAGAAAAGTCTGTTGGAATATTTTTAAAATGAAGAGATGTGTTTTTTTGAAAAGTCATGTCCTTGTATAAATTTATTAGATTAATAAATTTATATGAGAGGTTATGTTTTCATATAAATTAATAAATTTATTTGAAGGGTTGTGTCTTCATATAAATTAATATATTTATATGAAGAGTTATGTAGGAAGTTAAAATATTAAATGAACCTACATACTAAATACATTATATTTAACAAAAGGTCATGTAGGAAGTTAAAACATTAAATGAACCTACACACTAAATTCATTGTATTTATTTAAATTGTGTTGGTTCATGAACCAACATATGGTTGTGACTTTTTATTTAGTAAGTTTTTATTCTAAAAGATATCTCTTCAAGGCATCATTTCATGCTCTATATAAACCCTTCACCATCATTTCATTTGAAAAAATACAACACAAACGCTAAGATAAAACTCATTGTCTTTGTCTTTGAGTGCACGCAAAGATAGAGTCAAATTATCACTTTGTGAAAGCCATTATTGTCTTTGCTTGAATTTGGAAGTGCAATCCATATTCAAGGGTCTTTATTGTATCCTGAAGAAAATTCGCCAAGCATTCCAACTTGCACCCTATAAGATAGGAATAGGTGGGGGCGAATTAAGCCTAAAAGAAAGTGCTGCCCATGCCTTGAAAACATCGTGCACCACTTTCTTCTTCATATCTTCTTCTTGTACTCTTCAGAGAACCATTCCTGCCAACAAAGTCAAAATCACCCTTACTAGCAGCATTTATCCCAAAAAATGTGTGTATAAATGCAAGTTATTTGTGTTTGTGCATGTATGCGTATAAATGTCGACGGCCACTCCATATCTGTAATTGATATTGTATTGCATTTTCATTTTATTGTATTGTGCTGCACTGCAAAATGTAATGGGATTTATTTTTGTTATTTAATACAATTTAAACGCACATACACATGCAAATATGTCAATACTGAATTTGAACTTAGGATAGTAGAATCTCATCTAGGTGTTGTAAGTGGCATTACCACCAGAACAACTAACAATCTACACAAAGGGATTCATTTGCTTGTGTGCTTGATTCAAAGATTGTGGGACATACATAACTAATGGATTAGCTCAACAAAATATTAGCATGAGATCTGCCAAGGCAATAATTACAATGATTAATAAGATAAATGTTTTAGAAAATTAATATAAGCAAATAAAATATACACTTTTAAAAGTATGCTTGGTATGAAGAAGTGAATAATGAAAAACAATGTAACTAATGCTAGCCAACCATAGCTGATGTGATGTTTGTATCCAAAAGTTTGGATTAACTTTCTGAGAGTGATTTTATGAAATCGAAAATAAGTGTGAAATAAGAGTTTTACTTCGACTTATGTAAAAATGCCTTTTAAATTACTTATATGGATTGTCAATGTACAATTTTTTTTATCTTGTTTCCAATTTTTTTTATCTTGTTTCTTCCCCCCTCTCTCTCTCTTTCCCTTTCCCTTTAAAAGTGGGATTTTTTTTGGGATAATCCTGAAAAAAAACATCTTGGAATTTTGAAATTTTAAATTAGTTTTGTTTACTATACTTTAATAACAGTTGATAATATTTGAAAAGCAAATGACAATATATTTTTGTAGTTATTTTTAATTTGGGATTTTGAAATTTTAGAAGTTTTTTTTATTTAGCCTTTTTTTGGGGAAGCAAGAGAAATAATGTATCATTTTTCCATACTGATTAAAACTTCCCTGTTTGTTCCCCTTTTCACGTGTATAAATTTTCTGACGTGTTTGAATTTGTTGCCGGAAACAAAAAATTTGTTCTAAATCATCTCTTATAATTATAATATGATACATTTTTTATTTCCTAGTGCATAGAGGATGTTGCTATATGGTTAGAATCTTGTCACTTTTTCTTTAACTTTATAATTTTATCATATTTTAGAGAGGTAACATATTTTAAAATCATATTAAAATTAATGAGATATCATGTTAAAATTAATATAATCATCTTTTAAAATGCATATAAAAATATTTCATCATATATAAGTGAGCTAACTCGTTTTTAAGATTTTGACTAGTTAACAAAACTAATAAGCATATTAAAATGTACAATATAATAATTTTTTTGGCCAAATAATAATATTTTATTATAAAAAAATAGAGGCAAAGTTGTTCATATTAAAATCCTCCCCTTCGTATCAAACAAATTAATATTAAAACACCCTCTCCTCTTCCCTTCTCTGAAACCCTTTCCTTAGAAAATAAAGGAACGCGCCAAATGATTAATGCACGTAAAAAATCTTATTACTATATAAGTTACAATGTTCCTATGTTCTGTTTGAACTTTGAATGGAGAGAAGAGTTGAGAAGAAATCATAGAGAAAAGAAAATTTGCAAATTGTTATAATGACAGTAATATTATGTCTCATATAATCATTTATAACAATGTTGTATAAAAATAAATATCATCTAAATATTTTTAAGTAAAAAATTTAAAAAATATTTTTATTTGTATATTTTAAAATCAAATAATTTTTGTATGTTTAAATATTTATTTCAAAAATCAAATAATAATTCAAAAAAATGAAATGGTATATGTTTAAAAATATATTTTTCATATGCATATTTATTTAAAAATAACTTAAAAAACATTTTTTGTATTTGTGAAAGTGGTTTAACGGGGTGGACTGAAGTGAGAAGAAAGCATGGCAAAGACTAATAGTGGAATAAGAATTTTTCTTTTAAGATTTCTCCAAATTTGGTGAGAAAAATTGAGAGAAAATGTGGTAGGTCCTACCTCTCTGTTTTTTCTTCACTTCTTTTTTTGTTCCTCATTCAAATAAGGAAATATTTCAATCTTTCCAATTTTTTCCCCCCTTACCCTTTCTTTCAACCTTTATATCCGAACACAAGGTTAACGAATTTTACTCTATAACACTGTTTGGTTAGAATGTTTTGGAAGGAAGGGAGAGGGAGGGGATAAAAAATTGTATTTGGTTTGAAAAGACGAAGGGAAAGGGAGAATTTTTTTATTTTTTATCTTTTAATGTTCCCCTCCCAACATTTTGCTCCCCTCTAAATTTAAGATTTTTTAAAGAAATATTATGTCTCAACCTAACTAAATTATTCATGTCACTTTTTAAATATTTTAAGTTTATCCTTTTTAGTAAAATTTTTTTTAAAACTCTTTCAGCCGCTATTCTTTTTAAATTTCAAGTTTATCATTTTCAATAAAAAAACCCTTTTAAATGATATTTGATAATAATGATATAATATTTTTATCATAATTATACTATTTTTCTTAATATAATATGACAAGAATATATTTTTTAGGGTATGTATATTTGATAATAATGATATAATATTTTTTATGATATGTGTATATGTTATAAATATGTAAATATTTTTTACATGCGAGATAACTTATTTTTTTATATTCATAAATTAGAAAATAATAATTTTGATATAAATATGAAAATAAAATAATAAAAAAATAAGGACATATCTGTTAACTTATAATTAGTTTTTCTCTCTTCCTTTTCTAAACCAAACAAGAAACCTTTGCCCCTTCCTTTTCTCTCCAACCAAATAATACTCATAACCTCCTCTTACTTCCACTCACCTTCACTCTCCTCTTCCTTCCACTGAACCAAACAAAACCTAAGAATTAATTGTTTTGTTTTATATGCACAGCACCCTCTTTTCGCAGCCAATCTATGGGCATTTTGGTCATTGAGCGACCAAAACCCAGAACAGCAGGCCACCTGTATGGGCGGAAAACCCAGCATTGCCAAATTTCAATTTTGCTGAAACGGAATTCGTTTCATGCAAAGCGAATTCTCTCCCCTTCCCACTCACACTCTCCGTGCCACTGGACCCTCATTCTCAGTCACCCACGCTTGCCTTCGGTTCCTTCTGTGTCCGAACCGCGCAGAGAGAGAAACCAGAGAATCAGGTACTTCCGTCCTGTGTTCTGGCATGCTGATTTTGCAGCTGATGGTTTGGCATTGTCGATTCATGCAGAATGTTTTAGTCTCTTGAGCTTTAGCACTAATTGTGACTAACCCATTTGTTCATTCTCGTTCTTCGGTCTAGGGTTTGACTTACACTTTCTTGAGTTACTGAAAGGAGGGGTCTTTTGTTTTTCCGAGGTAAGACTTGTGTTTGGGAGAGGAGAAAGTAATGAGTTTGCTTGAGTGGGGTGGTAATCAAATGATTTCGTTTCTGGGAAATATGCCAGAAAAATTAGTTTGACGGTCTGTTTCATTTGAAGTTGAGGGTTTGGGAGGAAAAAATTATGGAAAATGTTCCGTACATTTTATTTATTTATTTTTTGAAATAACATTGGAGGTTTGAATCTGCGTACCATCTGCACCTCAATTCCATCTTTGGCTCCGAGCCCAGCTCAGGGAGCAATGTTTCGCACATTTTTATGCAAGTCTTCTTTTCCATGCAGGCTTTTATTTCATTGGTTCTCTGGTACCCCCAAGGATGGCCATTTCAGCTCTTTTTTTTACATGTTTGTTTGCAGTTTTAAACTCCCTTGATGAGTCGTTTTGATTTTAGTCTGAATGAAGGGAGGATTGTGATTTCTGATTTCGTCTAACTCGCTGAGTGGGAAGTGAATATGAATCCGTTTAAACCTCTTACTCCTTCTTCGATTTATCTTTTCTTTTCTTTTCTTTGTTCTCTTTTTGCGGCTCGTGTTTACGCGTTGAAGTTTGGATGAAATCTTGAAGGGATTTTAGAACTCTTGAGGGTATCCCTGCACTCATTAGTCACAATTATTGTCTTTAGTGAGTTTCCTGTCCATGCAAGTCCCCGATATCGTATAATTTTTTCTTTGTTCGTCAGGCCTTGGGAGAAAGAAGAGCTTGGCACATTTTTGAAGTGTGCTATTTTTGTTGGGTACTAGGGGTTGTTGTCTGATGCTAGAATTTTCAAGTGATGATTGATGAATTTCAGCTTTTTCAATTTTTGTTCTCAATGACGTTGTACCATGAGTTCTCTTTCATCAATTAGTCACCCCTTCTCAAGGACATGAAAAAGAAAAGAAAAAGCCATTTTAGAGGTTTCACTAAATAATATGAGTGATTGTAAATTATTGTTTGCAGGAACTTAAAAGCACTTTGGAACTCTGAAATTGATGGAGGAAGACCATTCTTCAACTATTTTAGATGCTGAAGTTGTTGGGATCAGATTTAGTCTGGCTACATTTCATGAAATTGTAAGCTCAAATTGAATTTCTGTTTCCAGTTTCTTGTGTTAATAGAGTTGCATTAATGGATCAGTTGAGCTTCCTGTGGTGTGTAGCATAGGAAACAACCATCCATTCTTCGTGAATGAGATAAAATCGGAACAATGCAGGGTGTGTTATTGTGATCTGGGCAAAAGATGACATGCACTTATATTATGAGCTTCTCAAGGCAGTTAAAGGCCAAAAAAAAAAAGGGAAAGAAAGTAGCCCCTTATGATGCTAAACCCTGGAACTGCCTTAGATGAGAGGTGCAGGGTAAAAGGAAAAGAGACACTTGAGTGAAGTGAGCTGCGAAAATAGGAAATAATGCCATAAAAGGCTAATAAATAAAATAAATGTAAGTTGTAACAACATTTGACCTGTAAGTTAGTTAATCAAACGTAATTATTATCTAGCCATTGGTCTAATCAAATGCACTAATTAATTCAGTAATTCGGTAACATCATTATTCAATCATAAAATGATTCAGCCATCGATTCTAGTGATAAGTTCAGCCATCAATTCTAGTAATAAGTTCAGCTATCAAACCTTGGAAAACGAGTAGCATAAATAATATTTTAAAGTGAGAATGACCTTGTTATCTTATTACTGATTAGTTATTGGACTGGATTTTTATAGTTTTCTAATTTGTAATGAAGTCATACTGTTTTAAAATACTTGAGCTGGCCTCCCTGTGATTTCCCTGTTCTTTCCACCATTCTCAAGTGCCTAAAGGACCCCCCTTGAATGAAGGGGAAAGCACCAAAAGTGCTGCCAGGTGAGCGGCTGGCTGAAGCCAATGCTTCTCATGGTACAAGAGGCGTTAACCCCTTTAGTGCCTCACCTCATTGCCTTAGGTGTCAAGGCAAATGCCTTTGACTACACCAGTGCCTATCAGGACTTTATTTTGGAATGATTTTGTTATTTTAAAAGTTTTTGTCATAATTGGCACCTTTTTTTTTGGTTGAGGGTTATGTATAGAGCTTAAAACATAGTTTGTAGCATGAATTCTCTGAGTATGTAGTATGTTGGTATTATATTTATGGTCAGTTGCTGAGAGTATTGCTTGAAATATCTCAAATTATTGCTTTAGCTGAAGAAGAGCTTTCTAAGTAATGTCTGTTTCAACAATGTATCATTGAGCCTAATATTGATATTTGATATCTGTTTTGGGGACCAAATTACTCTACGTTTCTGTTTTGTCTTGGCAGTGTACAGCATCGGTTAATGACTCTTCAATTAGTCATGCTAGTCAGCTGTCAAATCCATTTCTTGGGCTACCCCTTGAATTTGGAAGATGTGAATCTTGTGGCGCTTCTGAAGCTGAAAAATGTGAAGGTTTGTATATGGTCTCATTCTCTGGCTATTAGTTTGATAAAAGAATAGCATTTCAAATGTATCAATATTCTTTTGTTATTATTTTCTAGGTCATTTTGGATATATTAAGCTACCAGTTCCGATTTACCATCCAAGTCACATTATTGAATTGAAGAAGATGCTCAGTTTGCTGTGCTTAAACTGCTTGAAAATGAAAACATACAAGGTAACACCTGATAATTGATTTTTGTTATTCATTTTTAGCATGTTGAATTAACATGAATTTGCTAATCTTTTCAAAGGCCTGTGGTTATTGATTGCAAAAAGTGAAGGAGCTTTAGTTAATATCCTTTTGTTTACACCCTTTACCCGCAGAGTTAAATTCCTTGAGATGATAGGTTTATGAAAGACTATTTTCCAACCAAATAATCAATTATACTTTTCACATTTTCTTTGTTTCTCATCATCTTTGAATATCCCTATTATGTCTGATTTGAAAAGTATACTTAATAAAGAGATGAGAAGCACCCTGCTATCATAGATTGCAATGCGAAACTTGAATAATATATGCATACTAGGAAACATGTAATTGAGGAAAATAATGACAATATATTCATATCACACCCTTCCTCTCCCCGTTCCACTTTTCCTTGAAGTTTTACTGTCTTTTCAAAGATGGTGAATGATTGATAATTTGCTTGTCTCTGATTATAGTTATCATGTTAGCTTGCAAGTTTTAACTTTCTGGCCTATAATCTTTCAGAATCCAGCGGCAAGCAATGGTTTAACACACAAGCTTTTGGCAAGATGTTGTGGGGTCAGTATAAACCAATCTCTCTCTCTCTATATGCATTTATATATGATATGCATATGTATATGTACATACATAAATTTGAGTTTATTATTATTCGTACTATCTATTTGTATATGTGCTTATGCAATAAATATGATGATACTTGTGAATAACATTTTCTGTGTTAAGCATAATTTTTCTTTCTTTTTTTTTCCTCCTAATTTTTGAAGAGCACATTTTAATGTATTGGACTTGGAGCATTGTATTGAGTTTAGTTTCTAACTTTCTGGTGTCATTTT